CCTGCGCTGTCCTTTACCACACACCCCTTTGCATGTCACTGCCGTGACTTTCCTGGGTTGGGGGGGTGGGACGGGAAGGGCATAGCAAATACCAAAACTATCGGCCGAATGTTTCATGTCTCTAGATGTTTCTGCTGCATGTGTGCGCCGCCGGGGCTTTTGTTTTGCTCCACAACATGCAACATCCAGTCACTTTCATGTTACACAAGGAAAGAAAGGCACTGGATGACCTCCGAGAGAAAAAAGCAGAACCCAGGCAACTCAGCTGGCGTTGGTCATCTTGTAGAAAGGCAGCCAGTGGAGTGAATTCCCTTGTTCAGGCTGCTGTGAGCTCGTGTCCACATGTGCTGTGTAAGGCTCTGAGATGAGTGGTGCGCAGACCTGGTGGTCTCTATGCACCTGGCCTCTGCTGGACCCGCCCTGCGACCTGACTCGCTCCCTTGCCCCCACTCTTGCCCTGACTGTCCGTGTCCACCTGCTGCTGGAGTCACCTGTGAAAGAGGGAAGTTGCCCCCATTCCTCGCCCTTGAAGGCTGGCTCCCTCGCTGTGGCTTCTCGATCCAGGCAAGGGCCCCCGAGACTCAGACCAGGTGGGGTCTGCCTGGCCCCTTGACAGGCCGCGACCCTGTGGCTTGCTGCTCTGGTAGTGTGGGCTGCCTTCCAATCATCAGGTGTTCTTCTCTGGCTCGGTGGGGTCTCCCTGCAGGCTGTTGCTCTGCCTGGAACACAGTCCACATTGCATGGTTGTCTCCTGCTACCTTTTGGTTTACCATCACATCTCTGAAACCGAATTGGTTAAATACACCCTATGGTCCCTGTTCTCATGGAATTTGCAAGTTCATCTGGAAGATGAGACTAAGCCCAGGGCCTTGACATTACTGAGACCTGGCATAGAAAACAATCCACATAAACTGTATTCACAGAATTTAAAATTCCAGACTCAGCATCCTCCTTGGGAAACGTAGATGCAAACGTATGGCTAATGTGTCTCAAACACGTCAAATAGTTCATTGAAATAAGTAATAGCTTCCAGTCTGCTCTAGTGGAGTCCTGGCCTTCAATAATTTTCAGTCTTGTTGGGGAGCAAGAGTAAGAACCAGAATGGACAACCAGTGGTCACTGAGCCCTGCAGATGAGAGGGCACCAGAGTGGGAGGGACAGGCCTGCACCTTCCTTGGGGGAGGGGTGTGGTACATGTGGAGAAGGGCTGCCCCATTTCTTGCTGGGGTTCCGCCGACGGAGTCTATAGCAACAGGGTAACAGCACAGAGTGTGCCCTTCTGCAACTGAGAACCCGGACGCATTTGGCCTCCGCCCTCAAGCAAAGACAGTGCCAGCTTCCGGCTGTCCACGTAGATCCCACTCTGCCCTGAGAACTGCCATGGGCAGTGATGGCTCAGCCTGCCTCCAGCCAGGCAGCATGTCCTGCCACACAGGGAGTACCACCTATGTCACATACAGGCCACACATTTCCAAAGAGACAGTTCTGATATGATATTTCAATGTGGAAACAGATTGGACTGAACACATGATTGCTCCAGGATCAATAAGTCTCAGGTTCATCCTTCTGTACCCTAGTGCTTACTGTCCTATCTGTCTATGTGCAAAATGCTAAATGAACACAAGAAGCGGGGTTGGCCACATTAGTGGCACTGAATCCAGCCATCTTTTGCAATGGCAGCTATTTTAAAGGATAATTTTTCAAGTTCAGAGTGAAATGCTCAGCTGTTCATGGTTTTAAACCAGTTGACTCTTCTTAAAAATGGAAAAACTGGTACTTTTATTTATAGAGATTTATATCAAATAAACCGCTTTAGGTCTTGAAGTTGCAAAATTCAGCACACTGTGAAATATTCCTTGCTGTTATTTCAAGAGAACAGTAATCAAAAGAGGTTTCCAAAACATACAAAAGAGTAAGTTAGATAGTCCTCATGATGCATCTCTGAGATTTTCTGCTGTAGAAACTATATTACATTCAATGATAATGTTTCTAAATTTGTGTGAACTATGCTTGTTGCTTTTAAGCCTTCACTTTCATTGTGCTTTCCAAAATTTTTCACAAAAACATATTTTTTATTCTGCTTTTAGATTTGCTACAAAAAGAAAGCCTGAGGTGTTGGTTCACAGGATGTCGGGTTCAGAATCAGATAGACCTGGGTTCAAATCTCAGCTCTGTCACTTGCCACCTGTGTGACTTGGGCCAGTGTGTTGACTTTTTTGAACCCGAATGTATCCTTTATAAAAAGGAGGTTACAATAGTATGCCCCTCCCAAGGTTATGGGCCAAGCTCTCCACCTGGTCAGGGGGAGTAGCCAAGACTTAAGTCTGAGCCCCAGTCTGGGGCTGGGTGCAGCAAAGCCCCACAGAGCTGGAGGAGGCCTTATCAAGGCTGCAAAGGATTGTGTGGCATGGAAATAGAGCCTCAAGGGGCAGAGTAGGGAAGACTTGGGCGCATGCCATGTGGCAAGAGGCAGAAAAGCCAGCATGGCACCTCAAGGTACTGCCCCCTGCCCAAGATGCTGCCTGCAATAGCTGAGTGCCAGCTGGAGCCCTGCCCAGGTTCTGTGGCTCGCCCTGGCATGGCGCCCGCCCCTTCTCTCCTCCTCCAGCCCAAAGTCCCAGGTGTCTCCAAGGAGGGAAAGTGCTGCTCGCGGTGGGAGCAGGTAGAAGCCAGTCAGCCCCATGAGCCACCGCGATGCCGGCTCTTCCAGCCCTTCTCATCCTCTTCTCTTCAGCACGCCCACCAGACTTGAGGCCGCCTCACTCCCTGCCTACCTGGTCCTCAACAGAAGCATTTCAGGGACGCTGGCACCATCGGCACCTCGCACCACCGTCAAGCAGCTGCCTGCAGTGGCTGCCAGGCGCCATTGGGGCCGGGGTGGGAAGGCTTGCCAGCCTCACACCTGCGGCAGCCTTCTCCAGGCCAGGAGCGGGGCGTGCTGCAGGGCTGCAAAGAGCAGTCCTCACGGAGAGACAAGGAACCAGCCACAGTCTTCCCCTGGCAGGTAGACTGAGGACAGACCCTCAGGCCGCTCACTACCAGGGAAGCAGGGGGACACTGGCAGACAGAGGAACAGTTTTGGGCGGAAGGAAGCAACAGCCTGAGCCCAGGACTATAAGGACACGGTGAGCACCCACACAGGGCAGGTCCTCAGATCTGCCTTCTCTTGCTGCAGCATTGGGAGGGGATCTCCAAACGTACACCAAGGGCAGCATGCTTCAAACTAGACCCTGGCTCCTCCCCACCTAGGCTCATTTCCCGTCTTCCACCATGCTGTCACCCTCTTGGTGGTGTGAGCCCAGGCCTGGGTTCAGGATGCCTTGCCTGCTTCTCTCTTCCTGTGGGTGTTGACTTGGCATTTCTTCCTCTGGAAGATCCTACAACCTTATGCCAACAGTCTGCACCTGCCACGCTCCCACCCTCAGCCTGTTTGGGCTGCTCTCTGCACGTCCTCTCCGCTCGGCCATTGTCTCCCCATTGATTCGTTATTCAAAGTCCTAACCGCTTCTGCCTCACTGCCCCTCAGAGGTCAGCTGTGTGGTCCCAGATGCCCGCTCCCTCAAAGCCCCTGCTTCCACCCACACGCCAGGAGATGGCCATAGCTCCCACCGATCTCAGGGTGAGACTGGATGCTCCAGCTGTGCAGGGACGGTCAGGTGGTTAGTTCCCTGCCACCCTGTACCCCACACTCCAGGCAGGTCCCCGTGCCCTTTCCCACTGAACTCAGCCTGGGGATCGGAAGCCTTCTCTGGATGGTCCTGCGGGCACCCGTGTCCACCAGTGCTGGGTGCACAGAAGATGATGTTTGGGGTCTGCCCAGCCCGCCTGTCCGTGTCCTGTGCTCGCCTCCCACCCGGAGGCTTTTTCTCCCCTCCACCCACACCCTGTGTGCACCACGAGCTGCTGGGCTGTGTCTTACCTGGCAGCCTCTGTGGAGACATCCTCCCCAGCAGACGCACAGTCCTGGAGTTTGCAGCATGTATATCCCCACCCTCCATGGGCCTGGGCGACAGGCAGGCGTGGGTGTCCCTTTCGGCTGTGTCTCTTAATCGATGGAGGGGGTGACTTACCTGTGTGGGTCCTCTTGGAAGGGCCGCGATTTTGCTTCGTGGGGACACGGTGAGGACACACTGAGGAGCTGGTGGTAGAACACAGGGGCTGAGCCTGGGAGTCCAGATCAACCAATGAACCGGTGGGGGTCTGGGGGCGTCAAGAGCTCACAGGTGCCACCAGGCCCCAGGCAGCTTCACTTTGGCCCCTACTGTGTGCTTTTAGGTGTGCTGTCTATGAGGCAGGCGCGATGAGCCTACAGCCCCAGCCCCAAGGAGGAGTCACTGGGCCAGGCCCTGAAGTGAGTGGGCCATGTGGGGAGTAGGCAGAAGTCTCCTAGAGCCCGCGGGCCCTCCGGCCCTGGACGCTAAGTGCTTCCTGCTTTCCTCCCAGCAGGTGCAGACACCAGCAGCATGGAGCTGAAGAGGGGAAAGACCTTCATCAAGTCCAGCCTGCAGATTTCCCGTGAGAAGGCCCCAGAGCCGGCAGCCACTGCTCTGGCCAGGGAGGACATAGAGCCCTGGCCAGTCCCGCCGGGAGGGGAGCCGAGACCCCTCGGTGAGCCAGGCCCCCAGGCCTGTCCCAGCCCCCAGGGATTCGATGGATGCCCCAACAAGGGGACACAGCCCGGCCCTGATGGGGGCCCAGCGGCCCTCCGCGGGGCCGCCCTCAAGCCTGTGCGGAAGAGTAGGACACACGACAGCGTGCCGGGGGCTGGCCGGGCGGCGGCCGCCACGGGGCGGCTGGCGGGCAGCGCAAGCTTCCCGGGGTCCCCAGGCGGCCAGCGCCTGATCGACTGCCGCCACTTGGTGCCCCAGGTGCCCTTCGTGCCGGCCGTGGCCAAGAGCATCCCAAGGAAGAGGATTTCTCTGAAACGGCCAAAGAAGTGCTTTCGGAACCTATTCCACCTCCGCAGAAACAAGACCGAGAGCCTGACCTCGCTGGCGGCAAAGGGGAGGCGCCTGTCCCCCCCTGGGGGCCCGCCGGACGCAGAAGGGCAGCAGGGCAACGCCTTCCTGTCCCTGGGGGCGGAGCCAGGGCCCGACGGCCTGGGCCAGGACCTGTCCGACAGCGAGCTCCTGGCCGACTCGTCCTTCGACCTCTGCCGGGCCCTGTGTGAGGACGTGGCCTCGCTCCAGAGCTTCGACTCGCTCACGGGCTGCGGGGAGATCTTTGCGGACGAGAGCTCGCTGCCGGCCCTGGAGCTCAGCGAAGGCCTGGAGAGCCCCGCCAGGGTGCCCCCGGCCCCGGAGAGCAAAGGGCCCCGGGGCCCCTCCCAGGGCAGCGTGGAGCAGCTGGCGTCTCCTGCTCAGAACGCGGCGTCTGACCTCACGCGCTTCTGGGACGACGTGAACCGCTCGGTGAGGCAGCAGCAGCGGGCCCTACTGGGCCCGTGGCTCTCAGGCCCACAGGGGACGGACACGGACCAGCCCCGGCTGGACACGGCCGGGCTGGCCGAGCTGCCTCTGTACCCCTCCAGGGCCCCCCGCGGTGGCTCCAAAGCCAGCTCCGTCGACACGGGCACGCCCAAGAGCGAGCAGCCGGAGTCCGTGTCCACGAGCGACGAGGGCTACTACGACTCCCTCTCCCCTGGCCTGGAGGAGGACAGGAAGGAGGCTGCCGGCCCAGGCAGGCCGGCGGCCGCTTGTCCCCAGGACAGCTACAGTGGGGACGCCCTCTACGAGCTCTTCCATGACCCCAGCGAGGGCCCCGCTGGCCCAAACCCGGAGGACGACCTGTGCGTGTCGGAGAGCCTCTCGGGGCCTGCCCTGGGGATGCCGCTGTCCATGTGCAGCTTCCACGTGGGGGCCGAGGAGAACCTGGCCCCGGCGCCGGGCCCCGACCTGCTCAGCCAGGGCTTCCTGCAGAGCTCCTGGAAAGGCAAGGAGTGCCTGCTGAAGCTCTGTGACACCGAGCTGGCCATCACCATGGGCGTCATCAGCTGGCTCCGCCGAGGCCCTGCGTCCCGCGCCACGCCCGCCTCCGGAG